GTGCAGCGACACCATGATAAGGTGTACTGGGGCTTGCTTACAGTTTCACTTCTGAAGCCTTGAAGACGACCATCGTCACACTTCTACAGAGCACACCTCCTCATACTTCCCAAACAGTTCTACTAGCTTTGCACCAAGCATTCAAATATATGAGCCTGTGGGAGCCATTTTCAAACCACCACAGGAGACAAGTGAGGGCCTACTGTGTATGATTGCTCCAAGAATCTGAGCCAGTGATGAAACTTAAAGGTACCATCGCCAACTACAGTACCAGTAGCCTTTTCCCTCACCTCACCCAAGCTAGACTATCCGGAACTTACCCCTCTCTATGATCTTACATAGTAGATACGTGTAGTGGGTACTGGTGATACACGCCTTTAGTCCCAGCACTCAGGAGGCAGAGGCATGGAGGTCACTGAGTTCAAGGCCAGCCTGATTTACAGAGTGAGTTCCAGGACAGTCAGGGCTACACAGAGAAATCTTGCTTATAAAAAAAAAAAAAAAGTGTATGTGTATGTGTGTGTGTGGGGGGGTAGGGATTCCAAAAGGTTCAAAAAGTTTGGCCATCAACATGAATTTGGAACCTAGCTCTGCCATTTATCTCTTACTGTTGCTAAGTGACTTCACTGAACCAATTTCCTCATCACTTCAGTGGATTGTCAATCAGAGACTTGGTAGGCAGATGCCCATCCTGGTGCCTAACAGTAGGAAGGCTGTTTCTTACCACACTAGTGAATGGTGCCGTGAAAAGAGGGTGCCACAAAGGAAAGTCAGGATGAAGGAGGGCACTGAGTTTATTCTGTAGAATCTAGAGGTACCTCCTGGGATGTAAGATTCTGCTTTTTCCAGCATAGCAGCTGAACATTTCTGTCCTTCATAGTTGACAAGGGTGGGGTCACACTGCAAGCATTGTCTGACAGCCATGCTACACTGGCTTGTGTTCACTGCAGGACCTGAGCGGGGCCATGAGTATGGTGGAGCTGCAGCAGGAGCTGGGCCTGCTTGCTAGCAACAACCAGAGGGAGGTTTTCCTCTTGGCAGCCAGCATTGCCCCTGCAGGATCTGGCTTCCAGGAACCCGGCACTGTGCGCATCTGGAAACTGCTCTTGGAGCTTCTCTCCTAAGCTGGAGCTACCTGCTTGCTGCCCAGCCTTGGAGACCACAGTTCTGCTTCTTCCTGCATCTTCATTGCCAGCCTAAGCCTTGGGCAGGATCATCATAGCAACACGTTCTGTCCCCTCAAGAACAAGACCAGAAGCACGCAGAAGCCTTCCTGATGAGGTGGACATGGGGCAGGAAAGTGTAAGGCAGAGAGGAGACGGTGACTGCCTCACCTGAGACCGTAGTGGAGCTCCAGCTCCCCTTGCCTTCCTACACAGTGAGATGTTCCGCGGACTTGTGCTCCCTCCCTGCAGGTCCCACTGGTTGAAGAACCAGTGTGGGTATCACAGGTACTCCTGAGCCTTCAGGTCTCCCGTTTGACTGTTCACCCTGGGTGATGTCATACGTTTTCCATGTGGGAAGGGTCTGGGTGGAGCATAGTATATCCTTGCTTCTAGGCCCTCATCATCCTCCAGCCCCCCTTTGTCTGTGGCCTTGTGTTTCTGCCTTTCTGGTGCAAGGGCCATCATTTTTAAAGGGAGGAGGTGATTTTCTAAATTTTCCTAAATGCCAGCCTTGGCAATGCCAAATGACGATCAACCTGAAGACTTTAGCATAGAGTGCTCTGACCACCTCCCTGCTCTTAAGGCCTGGCCTGCCAGCCTTTATTGCCCACACAAAGTGCAGTTCGTCACACAGGTGAAGAAGGATGGTTTTCCCAGGTCTGGAGACAGCCTGCTGCTTTTGCACTAACTGTGCCAATGCCCATGTTTACATAAATCTAAAGGAAGGAACCTGAGTACTGGAACAAGACTGAAGTTGGGGGGAGGGGCATTTTATTTATTTATTTATGTATTTATCAAAGGAATAGGCCAAAGTTCAAGGTTCTGTTTCTAGGTGCTGTAATTGAAACCCTAGATTGTCAAAGAAAATTTGAAGCTGACAACTATCTGGAATCATGGACATTGAGGTAACCTATGGGTATCAGTGGAGACAGAACTATAGCTTCCCCTCCCCCAATCTGGCCTTGAGACCAGAATTGAAGATAAGTACTTCAAGGGAACCTAGTACTTAGACTCTGCCTTGTGGCCCAGGACACAGGAAAGGACTAGCAGAAGAGCCGACAGAGTGGCCCTGGGTGCATCAAGCCTTCTGGAACCATTTATTTGCCAGCAAAAACAGAGAATGAAATTCTGTGTTCTCTGCAATGAACATTCCATGACTGTGGTGATCAACCAGTGCACAGCCCGTCTTCATGTTGACACTGGTGCAAGGAAAGGAGCCGTTGCCAGGACTACTGGGTGAGACAAGGTGTTACTCTAGCCCAGGGTGGCCTTGAGTTCGTGGTGTCCTTCCTCAACCTCCCGTGTGCTGGGATTGCAGGACACATTGGGCCATCATGCCTGGCTTCCAGTTTGCTTTTTGAAAATAGGTGTGTGCTGTTTGCCAGTTGTCCAACATATAACTGGGAAGTGTAAAGCTTCCAAGCTGAAGTGAGCATAGTCAGTCATCAGAAGAGGGGCCCACTGTGCCCTTGGCCTCCTGCCCATAAGAACAGATTACCGGTTTCACCAGAAACCAGTAATCACCAGAAGTGATCTTTCTGCCTTTGTATTAAATACTTAAGGAATGACTTGGATTTTCCAGTATTTGAAACTTTGTTGGCAACTCTTCATCTTGTCCTTAGGAAGGTAAGAAACTGTCATTGTTTTAAGAATCCCACCTTCTCCAGTGCTTAAAGCTTACCTTGAAATCAGACTCGATGAGAAGGACCCTTTTTCCTGATTTAAAGTCCTTTGTCTAATGAGTATCATTGTGTACAATTGTCATATTCCCCAGGTGGAGGGATGAATTTCAGAATAAAGAGTTTCACTGTGTCTATTGAAGCAGATTTACCTGAGACCAGGCCTATTAGTGTGTGATCCCATCTACAGCTACTTGGCCTCAGTTGAGGTCTGCCTGGTTTACAGTGAATTCAAGGACAGCCTGGACAATTAGCTGAGACCTTGACTCAAGATAAAAAGTCAGATAGGCCTGTGAGATGGATTGGTGGGCAGCTGGCAGTGGAAGCCTGCTGATGACCTAAGTTTGGTAGAGTGCTTGCTTAGCACATACTTGGTTCAAATCCCCAGTACTAGGAAAAAAGTAACAAACCAAGTAACCACTTTCTGGGCGTTCTGTACTTATTAGTTTGGGAAGAATTGCCAGCATTACAAGCCATCGGACTGTCTATGGCATCCTCCTGCCATGGGTCCAGACCTCAGACCAGATTCAGGCAGAGCAGACACTTTACCTTCTAGCCTTAGAGGGCAGAGTCCTTTCTAGGTGCTATGGAGACTCTGCAACCTCCCCCATTGTTATACCTGGAAGATGACCATCAAGGGATGGGGTGAAGTTCCTCAATATGTGGAAAGTGTCTGTCCACCCCATGTACCCAGATGCACAGGGTCACCAAGGACAACTGTGTAAACAGGAGTGTCACTTTCTGAGGTACACAGTGCCAAAATGGGTATATTCAGTGAATCTTCATCCTGAGGGAGAAGTGTGCTGAGTGCTTCCAGTTCCAGTCCCTTACCCCCTTACCTTTGGAACAGACAGTGACCCAAAGCCTTCTAACCCTTGGAAAGGATCTACCTGAGGGACCAGAGTGAGGGTCAGAAACAGCTAAAGGACACAGGAAGCTTACATGCCCTGGAGCAAGGAACATAGCAGAGGTGGCTTCTGGAAGCTGGCACCCAAGCTACAGTTAAGGAGACCCTCTAGTCAATGACACAAAATTTGAATTTTGTAGAGGCCAGAAAATGCAAAACCAAAAGACAGGAGCTTCTTGTATACTCTAGATCGAAGGACTAAATGAGATTCTAGGGCCCTCGATACTGTGGGAAGGATGGGCTGCTGCCTTCGGAACAGATTTGATGTCACACCCCACCCCCACTTCGGATACCTCTGACCTGTTGTCTTCCCTATAACAAAGATAAAAGTGCATCTTAGCCAGGCAGTGGTGGTGTCCCCTTTAATCCTAGCATTCAGGAGGCTGGAGAGATGGCTCAGAAGTTAAGAGCACTGGTTGCTCTTCAGAGGTCCTGAGTTCAATTCCCAGCAACCATATTGTTGCTCACAACCATTGAAAATAGGATCTGATGCCCTCTTCTGGTGTGCAGGTAGATGCAGAACATTCATATACATAAAATATAAATTATTAAAAAAATACATCTTCCAAATGTCATAGGCAATGTATAAAGATATGCTTTCCAAGCGTGTTATAGACTATAGGTGCTCCCAAGAGCATCTGGAAATTTAAAAGGTTTTTACATGATTCATAGTTAGGGGCACCTAACTTAAATGCCCACCTCACCCCTTTTCCATGATCCTTTTGCAAAACAGGCATCACCTTCTCAGGCCAAAACATCCTGGTACCAGAGGATGGACACATCACAGAAAGCCCAGTGGGTGGCACATACTGGAGTGGAACTAGTGGTCTGCCAGTCCCAGAAGGCAGGCTGGCCGCAAACTCAGAGATCCGCCTGCCTCTGCCTCCCAAGTGCTGGGATTAAAGCGTGCACCACCGCTGCCCGGCTCTCTGATATTTTCTTTAAGCCATGGCCAACAAAAGCAATCAAAAGTGAACAAACAGGACCTGCTCCTTACCCTTCTACAGGCAGCCCAGGCTTCCAGGCAAGTTTCCAGGAAACCAAGGCTGAGAGCACTCAAGAGGAAGGCAGTGCCCATAAACACCCATGACTGCAGTGCTTGTCAAGCTTGATGAGCAGTCTGCCCGAATAAAGTTAGTTTTCCCCGGAACAGAGCTTAGCTGGGCATAGTAAACACAAAACCATTACATGCCTTTAATCCCAGCCAGTGCTACACAGAAACCCTGTCTCAAAACAACAAAAACCCCATTACACAGGTAAAATGCTTTTATTATGTACAGATCACATTCAAATAAAGCATCACCTCTGGACACTGAAGAGCCAGTCCTGGCTTTTCTGTGAGCCTACAAGAAAGCATAAACCATAGCCTCTAAAGAGGTCCTTCTCCAGCCAGGTGTGGGGGCGCACACCTTTCCCTTTAATCCCAGAACTCAGGACAGAGGTAGGTGGAGCTCTGTGGGTCTGAAGCCAGCCTGGTCTACAAAGCCAAGTTCCAGGACATCTACGGCTATTAGAGAGACACCCCCACCCCACCCCCCAAAAAAAGAAAAAGAAAAAGAAAAAGAAAAGTTCCTTCTGATGAAGGAGAGTGAGTGAGTATGTGTGTAAAAACTGATTCTATAACACTTTGCCAGCATCATCTGAAACAATACAAGCCTTGTCAGGGGATGCACACCACTCAGTCAACCTCCATCTTCTTATTCTGCAAAGAATCAACGAAGGATTGCCACTCTGTTGGGTAAAAACGCTTATAGACATTAATCTTATTCCGAATCTGTTTTGGGGTATCTTGATAGTAATTCTTCTCATCCCGGGCCATAGCCTATAAAGAAAGACAACATGAGGAAGGCCAAATCTAAATCCTAGTTTTGCCTAAATTGTGCATGCCACTCTTATCCTTTTTTCTTTTTTAATGTTTTATTATTTTATTATGTGTACAGTGTTCTGCCTGCATGGACACCTGCAGGCCAGAAGAGGGCACCAGATCTCATTATAGATGGTTGTGAGCCAACATGTGGTTGTTGGGAATTCAACTCAGAACCTTTGGAATGCAGTCAGTGATCTTAACCTCTGAGCCTCTCTCCAGCCTGCCACTCCTATCCTTGAGGTCCAGATTTCTCACCTCAAAAGTCATTAGAGGGCTAGAGAGTTGGTTCAGTGGTTAAGAGGACTGGCTGCTCTTAGAGAGGACCCATCACAGCTTATAATCACCTATAACTCTAGTCCTAAGGGATCCAGTGCTCTCTTCTGACCTTCATAGGCACCAGACACACATGTGGTGCACATACATCCATGCAGGTAAAACACTCACACATATCAAATAATAAAGGGAAAAGGTGGGGGGGGCAGAGGAAGACAGATTTCCTTCTTCTTCCTTTTTTTTTTTTTTTTTTTTGGTTTTCCGAGACAGGGTTTCTCTGTGGTTTTGGAGCTTGCCGTGGAACTAGCTCTTGTAGATCAGGCTGGCCTCAAACTCACAAGAGACCCGCCTACCTCTGCCTCCCGAGTGCTGGGATTAGAGGCATGCGCCACCACTGCCTGGCGGAAGACATATTTCTTGGTCTACATTTTGAGTTCCAGGCCAGCCAGGGCTACACAGACCCTGTCTAAAATTAAAACAAAACAAAAAACAGTCAGAGACATGTCCTTCTGCGTTAAAGGGCTGGGGAAAGGATACCCTCCTTAGGGAAGGGACCAGACAAGCCTGAAAGAGCAGTGGGCCTTTAAGAAACTGGGCCCAGGGGCTGGAAAGATGGCTCAGAGGTTAAGAGCACTGGCTGCTTTTCCAGTGGTCCTGAGTTCAATTCACAGCAACCACAGGATGGCTCACAACCTATAATGATATCTGGTGCCCTCTTCTGGCCTGCAGTGCAGGTGTACACACATGCAGAACACTGCATACATAATAAATGAATTAAAAAAACAACTGGGGGGCTGGAGAGATGGCTCAGAGGTTAAGAGCATTGTCTGCTCTTCCAAAGGTCCTGAGTTCAATTCCCAGCAATCACATGGTGGCTCACAACCATCTGTAAGAAGATCTGGTGCCCTCTTCTGGCCTGCAGGCAGACACACAGACAAAATATTGTATACATAATAAATAAATATTTTAAAAAAATAGAAAAAAAGAAGAAGAAAAATAAATAAATAAAATGTAAAAAACAATTGGGACCAATTAGAGTTCAAGCCCCATCATAATCAATTACTTCCATATAAGTTCAGATCCAACATAACCAGATCACTCATTTATTTACTTATTTATCTATTTATTTTTGAGACAGGGTCTAATAGCCGTGGCTGTTCTGGCACATGCCTTTAATTCCAACACTTGAGAGGCAGAGGCAGACAGGTCTCTGAGTTTGAGGCCAACCTGGTCTACAGAGCAAGTTCCAGGACAGCCAACACTATTACACTGCGAAACCCTGTCTCAAAATACAAACAAACAAACGTGTGCTAGCAGGCTGGGTAACCAGATCTTTTCTTAAAAAATCAGGGAAATTCCTAACATGTGCCTTTGTACAGGAGGCTGGAATTCAATTAAATGAATTTGCAAAATGAAGCAACAGCTAACAAAACAAAAACCAAACAGGGAAATGGCTCAGCAAGCAAAAGCACTTGCTACAGTGTCTTGGTGCAGGAGCTGATGCAGAAGCCACAGAAGTGCTGCTTACTGGCTTGTTCAACCTGCTTTCTTATAGAACAGAGGGCGGCAGTAGGCTGGTTCTCCCCGTCTCAATCACTAGGAAAAATGCAATCCAGGTGTGTGGTAGCACACTCCTTTAATCCCACGACTTGAGAGGCAGAGGCAGGCAGATCTGAGATCAAGGCCAGCCTGGTTTGTTCCAGAACAGCTGGAGCTACACGGAGAAATCCTGTCTCTAAAAATCAAAACATAACAAAAACAAACCAAACAAACAAATAAAAGACAAAAAAAAAAAGGAAAGAAAAGCCCTATCCTGGTGTGGTCGCACATGCCTTTAATCCCAGCACTTGGGAGGCAGAGGTAGGTGGATCTCTGCAAGTTCAAGTCCAGCCTGGTTTACAGAGGAAGTTCTAGGACAACCAGGACTACAAAAGAAAGAAACCCTGTCTAAAAAGAGTATGAGAGAGAGATACAGAGAGAGAAAGAGAGAAGAGAATGACCTATAGCCTTGCCTACAGTCTAAGTATATAGAGGCATTTTCTCAACCGAGGCTCCCTCCTCTAGCTTGTGTCAAGTTGACATGAACCTAGCCAGCACATTATGTAAGCCTGGTGTTAAGTTCACACCCCAGAACCTATATAAAAAATCAAATGCACGGGTGTGCATCTGTAATCTCATAGTGTGATGAGAGGCAAAAGGAAAAGCTCAGCAGTGAAGAGTTCCATTCACATGGCATCTCATAATTTTAACTTTAGTTACAAAGGATCCAATACCTTCTTCTGACTCCCACAGGTACCAGGCATGCATGTAATACACATACATAGGGGCAAAGCACTCATACACATAAAAGTCTTTAAACACTGGGATGCTTTCCTCTGTAGACTCCTCTTTCCTTCTATTCCATCTCAGATCAGGCTAAAACAGCCCAGTGTATTTTCCCAATAAGCCCAAGTGGTTCTTCCCAGGAGGCCTCACCTTATAGTCTTCCCCATGATTTTCTACCATGTAATGAACATATTCAATGAGGTCGCGAGACAAGGTATTTCCTTTCTTCTCTGGGAGGCTGGCTTCTGCCTCCAGGTCTGGGGTAAAAGAAGTCAGAAATGCATTACCTTCTGCATTACTTGAGCTGCCCAAACACCTCTCCACCCAACCCCAGGACACAAGAACAGCACAGTAATCAGAGCCAGAGCCCTCTTCTTCAGGCCCTAGAATCCCAAAGTCAGCCTTCCACCTCTGCTCGTCCATCAGGGTGGCAACTCCCTGAAAAGCAATCCTCAATTTACGATTTAAAATGAAACACACTAAGCTCACCAGTCTTAACCGGTCCCAGGCCCCAGGGCAGAAAAATGCAAAGCTGGGCTCCCTTCCAGGGCTATCACCAACAGAAGAGCTCTTCCTGGTGTATTACGCCAGTGTCTGAAATGGGAAGGTCTGAATTGCTGAACCCTATCCCTCGCTGCATCATATGAAGGGGAAATCAGGACCACGGAGCCAATCACTTAGGAGGCTAAAGCAAAATAATCTCAAGTTCATAGCTAGCCTCAGCTATATAGCAAGACTCTGTTCAAGCAAATAAAAGCCAGACACACTGCAGACAGTAGCAGAGCATGCTTTCAAGACCCTGAATCCAATCTCAGCACAGCAAGTAGGAAAGAAAAGCTAGGCAAATGGGCAAACTATAGAAACAATGTAGTTCAATCTGATCTAAGTATGAGGCACTAAAATTTCTTACAGCAAAATCATCTTTGACCTGGTTGTCAAAGGCAACCTCAGCTTTGCAAAACCAAAGTTCAGGAGAGCTGGTTTATAGCAGTATGAATACATTCAACATAACTGAACTGTACATTTTGTTTACTTTTTGGTTTTTCAAGACAGGGTTTCCTGTGTAGCCCTGGCTGTCCTGGAACTCACGCTGTAAACCAGGCTGACTTCGAACTCAGAGATCTACCTGCCTCTGCCTCCCGAGTGCTAGGATTAAAGGCGTGCGCCACCACCGCCCAGCTTAACCGTACATTTAAAAAAGACCAAGAATGCAAATTTTACGTGGTTTTTTTTTGTTTTGTTTTTTCTCAAGACAGGGTTTCTCTGTAGCTTTGGGGCCTGTCCCAGAGCTAGCTTTTGTAGACCAGGCTGGCCTCGAACTCACAGAGATTCACCTGCCTCTGCCTCCCAAGTGCTGGGATTAAATGTAAGGGTTTTTTTTAGTGACAATTTAAAACTTAAAAAAAAAAAATTAATTCTTACAGGACATGGTGGCATATGACTTTAATTCCAGAACTTAGAAAACAGATGCAGGTGAATCTCTGTGAGTTCAAGACCAACCAGGGCAACACAGACCCTGTCTAGAGATAAATAAATAAATGAATAAATAAATAAATAAAATTACTACATTAAGTATATGTAGCTTTGTATATACAGTCAGGTGTAGTAATTCTCCCCACTCCCACAATGAACTATGTAAGTTTTTTTAAATGAACTAATTTTTTTTAAAGATTTATTTACTATGCAGTGTTCTGTCTGCATGCATGCCTGCAGGCCAGAAAAGGGCACCAGATCTCATTGCAGAAGGTTGTGTGCCATCATGTAGTTGCTGGGAATTGAACTCAGAACCTCTGGAAGAGCAGCTAGTGCTCTTAACCTCTGAATCATTTCTCCAGCCACTGAACTGTGTAAAATTCTCATGTGAATCACAAAGATAAGCTAAAGATAGGACTCAGGTAATTTCATATCAAACATCTGTCAATTCACAACAGGAGATTCAAATCAGAAGATGTGGTAAGAAAAATAAAAAACAAAACAAAAATACCTGAATGGAGGTATAGTTAAAAGGTTGAGCCGGGCGGTGGTGGCTCACACCTTTAATCCCAGCACAGAGGCAGAAGCAAGCGGACCTTTGTGAGTTCGAGGCCAGCCTGGTCTACAAGAGCTAGTTCCAGGAAAGGCACCAAAGCTACAGAGAAACCCTGTCTCGAAAAACCAAAGGCAAAAAATAAATAAATAAATAAACTCACAATAGGCAAGGGTAAGTAGGCAAGAATTCCAGAATATTCTTTCTTTCCTGCAGGGTCAAACTCACAGGGAATTTAGACTTGTCACTGGAAAGATTAAATGACAGCAGAATCTCTACAAATCAGCTCATCTTAAGTTTGTGTAAAACTGGGAACAAACCTGAGACTTACTGCTTTCTTCTTCATCCCTTCATACCCAATTTTCTCTTCTGTTAATGTCTCTGTCTTATCTGAGTTCATACATTTAAATCTTATCCATCTTTGCTGGAAAATGTCTTGGCTATGACACAGCTACTTCCGAGCCCTCCATCAGACGATGTCATCTACCGCTGTAGTGAAGGGACTGAGTGCCTCTCCACCTTCAACAGGCAGGACGGTGGCCTAGAACACAGCCCACACTCACCATTTACCACGTAGGGCTTCCGCACAAGGTCCTTGGGTCTCTCCTCCACGTCTACCTCCATGCCCTTTACCTGTAAGAACAAAGCCTGTGAGACCAACAGACAAGCACCTTTGATCAGAGAAAGTCTGATAGGACTAAGCAAGGACACTGTCCACAACACAACTATAGTGTAAGAAAATCCCTGCCTGAGGTCAGGCAGAACTAGATAACAAACTAACCCTTGTTATCCTTGAAGTCCCAGCAAAGTTATCAAGAGAAACACAAGCAGGGCTATCAAGATGGACCACCAGAGTTCAATCCCTAAAACCCCAAAGTGGAAAGAGAACCAACTCCTGGAAGCTGTCCTCTGACCCGCCAAGTCCCACAATATGCTCACGCCCACACTCAAGCAATTTAACAAGCCCTTCATCTTTCTACAGCTGTGCCTTTCCTGCTCTGCTGTGTGGTAACCCAGGGAAACACTGCACAGGTAGCGATGTCGGGTAGCTAGCTTCTCCATGTCAGTTGCCTGACAGTGCTTAGTTACAGCTTAATGTTTGCTTTAGAAAATCGCTGTGCCATTTTCAGTTGCCTGAAGGAATAGAGAAAAACTTGCCTAAAGTCAATGCACCAAATTCACTCAGCAAGCCCATTTATTAGGTTAACTAACCTGTCACAGCTTAGCTTTCTGAGAATTTAGTAGAGAACAAAACTCAAGATCATGTTAAGGGATGAAGAGGCACATTTAATATACAAATGTGCAAATAAATAATATACCATCACGTGCTTACAATTACTGTGAATTAAAATAAAGCAGGAAAGAGTATATTGGGCAAAGTGGGGTGCTATTTTTGAAAGGCTCAAGGGGTGATCCTGATAGATTTGTTGGGAAATAACTAGATGTCTCACGTGAAGGATAACTGAAGGCAGTATAGGAAACAAAGATCTCAAGCTCTGGACAGTCAAGAACATAGTCTGGAAAATTCCACCAAATTCCCAAACAGGCCCGAGAAGAAATGGTAAGCGGAGGAGAAATAACACTACAAACCATGCCCGTAAGTGTGCTGAGGAGGAAGTGTGAGTCATTAAGGGGCTTTGGCCAGAATTAGTGCAAGCAAATGACTTTGTCGAAATTATGGAAAGGATGTTCGGGGAGATCAAATTCTGAAACTCAGCTCAATGAAGGAAGGTGACGAAGAAAATTAGGGAAGAGCTAGGGTGGAGATGAGGAACATTCCTGAACCTTGCTTTACCTTCCTCTTTCGGAGGGGAACCGCTTTGTTGGGGTCCATGGCCAACCCCATCTCCGCCAGGTTCTGCCGCACGGATTTGGTATGGTCCCAGGCATGTCGAATGTGAGAGCTAACGGCAAAGAAAGAGAGATGGAGACTCTGTCACCACGCCGTCGATCCCAGCCGAAGTCCCTGCCTCCGAACTGGCCCCTCACCACTCGATCCGTGGAGCTGCCTTCCGACGAGCATTCCGGTTCAGACGCTTTCGGTTGACATTGTAACCGTACTTCTGCCTCCGAGTCTTTCCCTTGACCTTGGGCATCGCGCAGACTGCCGCACCAGGAGCTCAAACTCAGAAGTAGCAGCTTTAACTCTGAACCACACTTCCAGAACCGCGTGTTAACAGGCTCTGCGCCCAAGCGCGCGCAGGGGTTCTCGGGAAATGTAGTCTTTCTGGTAGCGCCTCCACATTGATTTACTTCAACTCCCAGAATAAAGTTAGCAATAGCGCCTGCGTACTACCCTCAGCAGGCTCTTTCCCCGCCCTCGTGGTGACCTCATCAGAAGGCGGGGTTCGACGTCCGGATTTTTGTCCTACCTGTTTCTGTGCCGGTGGCTATGGCGGCTCCCCGTCCTGTCAGTTCAGAGGCGCCTTTCGATCCGTCCCAGGCTCCAGTCATCGAGGGCTTTAGTCCCACGGTCTACAGCAACCCAGAGGGCTTTAAGGAGAAATTTATTCGCAAGACCCGTGAGAACCCAATGGTCCCCATAGGTAAGTGTGTGCTTTAGGAACCGAAGACCGAGGCGGCAGAGATTTCGTGGGGGAATGAAATAGGGGCGGACCAGGTACGCTTTGGGTGCGGGAAAGGGAGTGGACCGAAGACGTGACGAAAGGGTAGGGCGGGGAGGACTGAAACGGATCGGAGCGTGGTGCGGGGCTTGATGAAGAGAACTCTAGACCTACCCACTCTCGCCCTCCTGTTGTCGTCTACAAAACGAGGCTCTGGGAAAGTGGAGGTGGGCTACATCCTCAAAGAACCTACAGGACCCAACCTGCTGCCCCCTGTGTGTGTTGTCCTCTCCCCAGGCTGTCTGGGTACGGCGGCTGCCCTCTCCTATGGCCTTTACTGCTTCCACCGCGGCCAGAGCCACCGCTCCCAGATAATGATGCGCACCCGGATCGCTGCCCAGGGTTTCACGGTCGTAGCCATCTTGTTGGGGTTAGCGGCATCTGCTATGAAGTCTCGACCCTGAGTGTCTAGCCGGACCTTGAGAGCTCCATGGAAATCATTGTAAAATCCAGGAGCAACAAACAGCCCTGTCAGACGTATTCCCTCCGTTTCTGACTGTACTCAGTTGTCACTTGGGTGAGGAAGTGGCCGATTTTTGTGACTGATGTCCGTCCTCCTCTCCCCCGAAATCCCAGGTTCACTTCAGTTGGGTTGCACACTAAAAATTTGTGATGCGTCCCCTTAACTACTTACTTAATAAAGCCTTAATATACTGGCAATGTGATGAATTCTTAGTCTCATTCCTATATTCAAAGCCCTGATTTTTGGTCTGTTTTTAGGAAGGAACAGGAGGCTGTTGGTAGGATTGGCCTGTAGAAATCAGCGGGGCCTGATAGTGCCTATAACCTCAACTACTCTGCAGATTGAGGAAGAAGAATCTCGCCTGTAAGTTCAAGAGTTCAAGGTCAGCTAGAGGAGTAACTTAGTGAGACCTTATATCAAAATTTAAAATGGTCTGGGATACAACTCAGTTGTACAGCATGTGGTCCTTGTGAGGCCCTAGGTTCAACCTCCAGTCATGAGAGAGAAACATAGAGTCTAGTGCCACCCAAACTTTCCTGGTAACAGTCAAGTCACTTGGCCATTAGTTAAAAGTAGAGTGTCCCAAATGTTCATCCTTGGGATTCTAGTTCAATGGGCCAAAATTGGTTCCTTTTGGTGGAATAGGGGGAACTTTGCCAGCAATCTTCAAGTTTCTATAGCCTTTAGATGAGGCTTGTTGTAGTCCTGTTGGAGTTAGGATGTTCAACACCCACACCACCACCATCCTTTGTCTACTTCTTACTTCCGTTCTGACTCCTCTGAGGCCCTCAGGCTCTGCTGATCTATACCACCCAGCTTTTGATGCAAAAGTCTCAGCAGGGATTTGTGGCTCTGTGGTCAGCACTGTGTTGACTTGAGGAACTGAGCTCCTCCCATGTGTGACTCTCACCCTCTCAACACCTGCTTCAAGCTGGGAAATGGGAAGAAAGTGAAGGTACATTTCCTGTGCCTGACATATCTTAGATCTCTGAGTGGAAGGTCCATGACTAGAGCCAGGCATTTGCACCTCCTTCATGGTCTTAGCTGTGAGGCAGATTGCCGGTGTTGAACACTGCATTGTGAAGCCCAATGCAAGATGCAAGGGCAGAGTATAATGAGCTGAAGATGGCACCACTTTTCAAGGTCATGTCCACTATGTTCCTGTTACAATGCCCACCCCCTAAGATACACTGGAGAGTTGGATTCCAGCTCTCAATTCTTTTTTAAAATAATTTTTATGGTTTATTTAACTTTATTTTATGTGCATTGGTGTGAAGGTGTCAGATCCCCTGCAACTGGATCTTCAGACAGCTGCGAGCTGCCATGTGGGTGCTGAGAATTGAACCCGGGTCCTCTGGAAGAGCAGTCAGTGCTCTTAACCACTGAGCCATCTCTCCAGCCCCCAACTCTCAATTCCTTAGGTATTATTTTAGCAATAGGAACTTTATAGCCATTAATAATTGAAGTCTTTAAGGAAGACTTTGGTCCAGTAAGACTAGTATTCATATTTTTAACAAAAATTGGACAATTATGTCCATTGTTCCATATGGACAAGACATATATGGGAGGAGGATGAAGACAGCCGTATGAGGGTGTAGGCAGAACCAGAGGGCCGGGCTGTATCTGCAAGCCAAGGGATGCCTGAGCTACTGGAAGTTAGAAAGAGGCACAGATCTTGCCATAGCATCTACAAAGGGAGTGGCTTCATGGGTCTCTGATTTGGGAATTTAGCCTCCAGAACTGAGACAACAAATTTCTAATGCTCTACGACACCAGGTTTTAGCACTTTGTTATAGCAGTCTTAGGGCACAAATACTGTTGGTAGTTACTCAGATCTTTTTAACACATGGAGAGTATAATGGTTTAAATGTCCTGTTTACAGCCTCAGCTGAAGGGAAGGTGTGGTCACTGTTGTTTACCCGAAGTCCACAGGCGGGAACGGCCGAGGAGGGGGGCTGAGGCGGGGTGGTGCAGCAGGCCTGCCACATCTTAGAGGGTCCCGGTCGCTCCCAGGAAAGAAGGTCTGGCAGTTGATGTGCTCAGTCTCAGACACCATCACAGAGGCCACCGGCCTCACCTGCTTTCTACACTACAAGCTGATTCTGCTCTGGAAGCCATAGTTTTCTTAGCAGAGACCCTACCTTCAGGCTTGTTAGAGAATCATAAAGAGCAAGGTTGAAAAAGTGTTCTGTGAGAGCCTGTCTTTCCTCTTGCTGGGGGAGACAGCAGACAGAGTTTGGGGTCCCTGCTTCCAGTTGGCAGCTCCTGAGTCTGCAAGAGTACATCCTCACCTCTTGAGGGCATGAAGCTGGAAAAGTTGTAAGCACAAATCGAGCCCTGACACCAGTTGCAGCTTCCAGAGAAAGAGGATAATAATAAATAAGTGTAAAAAGAGTTAACATACCCTTTAAGCCAAGAAAAAATACATCAGGAGGGACAGTCACAATTGAGTGAACTCAGGAGTCTTGAGGGGCTGAAACATGGGGCCAGGAGGGAGTGGGGGTTGAAAGGGGTAAGGGTCCCACTTCCCAGCTCCCAGAGAAGCAGAGGAACAGAACAGGATGTGTGTGGCAGCTGCCAGAGGAAGTTCCACCCTGGCTGAAGCAGCTGCTCCTCTGCCCCAGCAAGGCCCATGCTTTGTGGCCATTCTTAACGGCAGGCACCTAGCGGGACAGTGGTGTCTGCTTCAGGGACATGAGCACCGAGCGCAGGCGGGACACGTCTTTGCACTGCTTGCTGCTCTTGGGATTGAAGTCACACAGCTGGGCCACCTTTTCCCACTCCGTGCCTGGGGTCTCCTCCTTGGATTCCTTCACAAAGGCCTCTTCGGATGCCCTGAAGGTGGAGAAAAGACAGGCGTTTTCATGGTTGTCTTCTCCTGGGTCACTAATGTCCTGCTCCCATCAGTCTGTGGTGTGCAGCCTACTCTGGGGCATTAGCCAGAAGTCTCCCAGGCCCTGTGCCCTATGACTTCAGCCACCGGGAACAGTCTTTACATAAGAAACCTAGGCCTAAGTGTGGAGGCCTAAGTCATCTAGACTAGGGCTTTTGAACTTACTGTCACCTCCTTCTGAGAGGGTTTTTCACTGGCTCATGCCTATTGCTTTTTGTTAGAGCCCGTGGTTCATTATGTAGCCCAAGTTGCTCTTGAACTCTTGAGCTCACGGGGTCCTCTCGCCCTAGCCTCCCCAGTACTGAGATTACAGGTGTGTACCACTGCACCTGGCTAGCACATTGCTTATCATTTCATTCCCCAAGTGGGCTTCACCTCCTCAGAAAGGCCTTCCTAGTCTGGGTATTCTGTTTTCTCTCTCCCTTCCTACCATTTCCTTTTTGTTTGTCTTTGTCTAAATGGGTCTCACATAGGCCAGGCTAGACCTTGAACTCCTGACCTTGCTGAGAGCACAGAAGTGTGCCATCACACCGGGCTCACTCATTATCTTTCCATCATGAGTTCCTGCACTGGGGATTCTGGTACGTAAAGGCCACCAGCTTCCCCCCCCCCCCGCCCCACCTTTCTTTCCTTCTTTTTCAGTACTAGGGATTGAACCTGGGCCTCAGATATTTTGGGTAAGTCTACCATTAAGCTATGTCTCTACCTCTACCACAACTGTTTTCAACACCTCCAAGACCTTCACCAAGAGAGAACACTGACTCACCACCCACTAACTATGTGATGGCTGTAGGATTGCCTGCAAGCATATCTGACTTCCGAAACCTGAGCTTGAAAGGTCTGTGTGGATGGAGCCACAGCCTGGGGAAGGTTCTATTGGAAGCTTTGCTCCGGTTGGAATCATGCTAGAATAAAAACTGGGGTGATCTCTGCTTCAGGAGTCTGCTTGTTTAGATGGTGCCGGGTGTTGAATTTCTGTCTGTGTGTATGACACGCAAGAACTCTACCACACTTCAGAATTTCTGGTTGATAGTTTTGATAGTCACTGACTTAGAGTGTTCAGCTGTAATTGGGACATCTGTAACACACACCAGGGTTCAGTGACCATAGTGGAAAGGGGACAAAAAGATCTTATAGAGCCAGCGGTCAGGAGGGATGGAGAGCAACAGTGTCTTCTGTCATGACAGGACACTTGCAGGCATGAACTCACAGGAGCTGGTCACCTGTACAAGAGCAAACCAGTCAGCATTCTAGCATGGAGTGGGAAGGGTTCACGAGCCCCCACCCGTAACTGAGGAGCTGTATAGACAGCCTATGGCTTCTGGGGGAGGGAAAGTCAGTTTTGTTTATCAGTGTGGCTCCCAATGAGGTCCACACTGAGGAGTTTATGAACAGCACCAACTGGACTCAGTTATTTGGGAGGGGGAAGAAAGGATACAAAGTTGGGGGAGTTGGGAAGTGGGTCTGGATGGTAGCAGAGAGCTCTCCAGGTGACCCCACTGTACTGCACCTACTGGAAGTGCTGGCCCCGGCTCTCCAGGTGACCCCACTGTACTGCACCTACTGGAAGTGCTGGCCCCAGCTCTCCAGGTGACCCCACTGTACTGCACCTACTGGGAGTGCTGGCCCCGGCTCTCCAGGTG